ATTTTGGAAACTCAACTAAATACATTTTCTTGTAGATTTCGAGCTGCAGAACTCAAATCCGGCCTCGTTTCTTTGATAACTGCAACCGTTTTTCCGGAATCGACCGTTGAATTTTCGGAATTTTTGAAATTTTCAAAAACTCGCATTTCGCAGCGATTTTTTCGATAATGTTGCTTGGTGACCATCAACATGCTACATTTTTGGAATCAGCGTGTCGAGATCTACGACCCAGAATTTTTTCATAATTTTTGGCCAACTTTTTTAAAATTGAAATTTTTTAATGGTCCCCCCTTCTTCAAATTTCGCAAAAATTTTGACATTTTCGAAACTCAACTAGATACATTTTCTTGTGGATTTCGAGCTCTAGAACTCTAATCCGGGGTCGGTTTTTTGATACCTGCAACCCTTTTTCCAGAATCGTCCGTTGAAATTTCGGAATTTTTGATATTCTCAAAAATTCGCATTTCGCAGCGATATTTTCGAAAATGTTGCTTCGTGACCATCAACATGCTACATTTTTGGAATCAGCGTGTCGAGATCTACATCCCTGAATTTTTTCATAATTTTTAGATAATTTTTTTAAAATTGAAAATTTTTAATGGTCCCCCCTTCTTCAAGTTTCGCAAAAATTTTGACATTTTGGAAACTCAACTAAATACATTTTCTTGTAGATTTCGAGCTGCAGAACTCAAATCCGGCCTCGTTTCTTTGATAACTGCAACCGTTTTTCCGGAATCGACCGTTGAATTTTCGGAATTTTTGAAATTTTCAAAAACTCGCATTTCGCAGCGATTTTTTCGATAATGTTGCTTGGTGACCATCAACATGCTACATTTTTGGAATCAGCGTGTCGAGATCTACGACCCAGAATTTTTTCATAATTTTTGGCCAACTTTTTTAAAATTGAAATTTTTTAATGGTCCCCCCTTCTTCAAATTTCGCAAAAATTTTGACATTTTCGAAACTCAACTAAATACATTTTCTTGTAGATTTCGAGCTCTAAAACTCACTTCCGGCCTCGTTTCTTTGATGACTGCAACCGTTTTTCCGGAATCGACCGTTGAAATTTCGGAATTTTTGAAATTTTCAAAAATTCGCATTTCGCAGCGATTTTTTCAAAAATGTTGCTTCGTGACCATCAACATGCTACATTTTTGGAATCAGCGTGTCGAGATCTACGTCCCTTAATTTTTTCATAATTTTTAGACAACTTTTTTAAAATTGAAATTTTTTAATGGTCCCCCCTTCTTCAAATTTCGCAAAAATTTTGACATTTTCGAAACTCAACTAAATACATTTTCTTGTATATTTCGAGCTCTTGAACTCTAATCCGGGTTCGGTTTTTTGATACCTGGAACCGTTTTTCCAGAATCGACCTTTGAAATTTTCGGAATTTTTGAAATTTTCAAAAATTCGCATTTCGCAGCGATTTTTTCGAAAATGTTGCTTCGAGACCATCAACATGCTATATTTTTGAAATCAGCCTGTCGAGATCTACATCCCTGAATTTTTTCATAATTTTTAGACAACTTTTTTAAAATTGAAATTTTTTAATGGTACCCCTTCTTCACATTTCGCAAAAATTTTGACATTTTCGAAACTCAACTAAATACATTTTCCTGTAGATTTCGAGCTCTAGAACTCTAATCCGGCTTCGGTTTTTCGATACCTGCAACCATTTTTCCAGAATCGACCTTTGAAGTTTTCGGAATTTTTGAAATTCTCAAAAATTCCCATTTCGCAGCGATTTTTTCGAAAATGTTGCTTCGTGACCATCAACATGCTATATTTTTGGAATCAGCGTGTCGAGATCTACATCCCTGAATTTTTTCATAATTTTTAGACAACTTTTTTAAAATTGAAATTTTTTAATGGTCCCCCCTTCTTCAAGTTTCGCAAAAATTTTGACATTTTGGAAATTCAACTAAATACATTTTCCTGTAGATTTCGAGCTGCAGAACTCAAATCCGGCTTCGGTTTTTTGATAACTGCAACCGTTTTTCTGGAATCGACCGTCGAAATATCGGAATTTTTTGAAATTTTCAAAAATTCGCATTTCGCAGCGATATTTTCGAAAATGTTGCTCGGTGACCATCAACACGCTATATTTTTGGAATCAACATGTCGAGATCTACGTCCCTGAATTTTTTCATAATTTTTAGACAACTTTTTTAAAATTGAATGTTTTTAATGGTCCCCCCTTCTTCAAATTTCGCAAAAATTTTGATATTTTCGAAACTCAACTAAATACATTTTCTTGTAGATTTCGAGCTCTAGAACCCACTTCCGGCTTCGTTTCATTGATAACTGCAACCGTTTTTCCAGAATCGACCGTCGAAATATCGGAATTTTTAGAAATCGTCAAAAATTCGCATTTCCAACCGATTCTTTCTAAAATGTTGCTCGGTTACCATCAACATCCTATATTTTTGGAATCAGCGTATCGAGATCTATGTCCCTGAATTTTTTCATTATTTGAGACAACTTTTTTTAAATTGAAATTTTTTAATGGTCCCCCCTTCTTCAACTTTCGCAAAAATTTTGGCATTTTCGAAGCTCAACTAAATAGATTTTCTTGTGGATTTCGAGATCGAGAACTCAAATCCGCATTCGGTTTTTTGATACCAGCAACCGTTTTTCCAGAATCGACCATTGAAATTTTGGAATTTTTGAAGTTTTCAAAAATTCGCATTTCGCAGCGATTTTTCGAAAATGTTGCTTCGTGAGCATCAACATGCTATATTTTTGGAATCAGCGTGTCGAGATCTACGTCCCTGAATGTTTTCATAATTTTCAGACAACTTTTTTAAAATTGGAATTTTTTAATGGTCCCCCCTTCTTCAAATTTCGCAAATAGTTTGACATTTTTGAAACTCAACCAAATAGATTTTCTTGTAGATTTCGAGCTCTAGAACTCAAATCCGGCTTCGGTTTTTTGATACCTGCAACCGTTTTTCCAGAATCGTCCGTTGAAATTTCGGAATTTTTGAAATTTTCAAAAATTCGCATTTCGTAGCGATTTTTTCGAAAATGTTGTTTCGTGACCATCAACATGCTATATTTTTGGAATCAGCGTGTCCAGATCAACGTCTGAATTTTTTCATAATTTTTAGACAACTTTTTTAAAATTTTTTATATTTTACATCATTATTTCTCTGAAAAATTGCACCCTTTTAAAAACATATTTCATATGGCAATTTCTTGTAGAGAAATGAGGATGTTGCAAACTAAACTTCGCCCTTTAGCTCACCATGAATAAAGCATTCATTACAATTGAGAAGGGGTGGGTGGGCGGGGCTTATATTTTGTCCATTATATCTTAATATACGAAGTAGTCTTTTCCCAACAAGAAAATGAAATCATGTTTAACTATCCTGTTGTTGAAAGAAAACTCTACATATTAAAAAAAACAGTAAAAATTAAGCCCCACCCACCAGCCCCAATCTCCATTGTGATGAATTTTTCATTCTCAATCAGACTAAAGGGCGGAGTTTAATTGCAAAATCTTTATTTCTCTACAAGAAATTATCATATGAAATATGTTTTTACATCAATATTTCTCAAAAAATTCTAACCTTTTAAAATCATATTTCATATGGCAATTTCTTGTAAAGAAATGACGATGTTGGAAACTGAACTTCACCCTTCAGCTCATGATGAATAAAACATTCATCACAATCGAGAAGGGGTGGGTGGGCGGGGTTTATATTTTGTCCATTTTATCGTAATATACGGAGTCTTCTTTTCCCAACAAGAAACTGACAACATGTTTAACTATCTTGTTGTTAAAAGAAAAGTCCATATATTAAAAAAAAAAAAACACACAAGAGTTAAGCCCCACCCACCCACCCGGATCTCAATTGTGGTGAGTTTTTCATTTCTCATCAGACCAATGGGCGGAGTTTAATTGCAAAATCCTCATTTCTCTACAAGAAATTATCATATGAAATATGTTTTACATCAATATTTCTCTGAAAAATTGTACCCTTTTAAAAACATATTTCATATGGCAATTTCTTGTAGAGAAATCAGGATATTGCCAACTAAATTTCGTTCTTCAGCTCACGATGAATAAAGCATTTATCACAATTGAAAAGGGGGGGTGGGCGGGGCTTATATGTTGTCCATTACATCTTAATATACCAAGTCTTCTTATCCTAACAAGAAACTGACATGTTTAACTATTCGGTTGTTGAAAGAAAACTCTATAAATTAAAAAAAAAAATTAAGCCCCACCCACCCACCCGGACCTCAATTGTACACATTTTCTTGTAGATTTCGAGCTATAGAACTCAAATCCGGGTTCGGTTTTTTGATACCTGTAACCGTTTTTCCAGAATCCACCGATGTAATTTCGGAATCTTTGAATACCTCTAGATGGCGGTACTTCGAGTGCATAAGCTCACTAGATGTTTAAACGCATGGCGCAAATTAACTGCCGGCCTCGAGCAGACCTTATGAGGGAGAGGAATCAAGTCAGTGTCTTAAACAAGGATAAATAACTTCAGAACACTAGCGACTCAACAGTGTATAGGGTCAGTAATATTACACAGTTATGACAAATTCCGGCTACAATGAGGGCGAGAGGAAACTAATATGTCAAACATAACAAGAAGGAAAGCAGGAAGTTTTGAATTTTTAGTGTGGCACTCATGACAAAATACCTACTATATAAAATTCAGTGCTGTGATAGTGTACTTAGCACGGCTTTCGACATTACTGAGTGTTAATGAACCAAAGACAGCCATAAAAATGACGGCATAGAACAAAGACCATGCGAAGCTACAATGTGAAATCACGCTGTAGAACGAACGAAATCGAAATCGACGTCACAGCTTTAGCGGCAATCATAGTGTCTCAAATCCTCCCAGTGACAACACTGTATTGTGGATAAAAAATATTTACCAAATTTTATAAATAAGCCACTTCCCGATTGCTTACATCGCACAAAGAACAACACATTTTGCTAAAATACTTTTATTTATTTATTCCTTAACCCTCTACTTGATGGTATCGATGCTCTTAAACTTAGCGATCTGCACACCCATCTGATACAAAACCTTCGCCGCCCCCTCCACCCCTCCGTCCACTTTAACAATCTTGCTGCACTCCCGAATATAAAACTCCACCTCGTCTTCATCAACTTTACTCGTCGTCATCTTATACTTGTTGGTGAACTGCGCCAATTTCGAGAACACTGAGCTGAAGGCCTCGTCCAGATCGAACAATTCCAAAGGCGGGGGCGGCAACTCCCGGAAAGACGGCGGGAACACCTGAAAGAAGCCACTTTGACTTCGTGCGGTCACCCAGGACAGCTGTCATTCCGTACGCAGTTAGCGACCTTGGAATGACAGCCGCCGCCCCCCGCCGCCAAATTCGAAGCAAGTTTTTGGCGTAGCAAGCGGCAGGCGAAGCGTTCCCTGGCGTCCTACATGTGCCCTAATCAAATTAATGAGTATTCAGTTTCACGTACCGCCGCCTGCAAGGGCGGTAGCGGCGCCTCGAACTTCGGCGTAATGATCTTGAGGGGCTGATGTTTCACTCCCAAGTCGTCGTAGAGTTTGAGCGCTTCGGGAACTGGAAAACAAAGACGGAGTTTTGAAAACAACGCTCGCCGAACGATCGGTTTTGATGGAGCTTCTGGCTCACTTTTCAAGCATCGAGTTTTCGTATTTGAACAAACACAAAAAAATTGGTCGAAGACAGACGGCAGACAGACAGACAGACAGACAGACGAAAACGGAAGACCTATTTTTCTTACCTAGGTTGGTATTCACCGAGTACGTCTTGTGGTCGAACAGCTGCGTGTAGTCGATCGACACCGTGTGACTTATGGCGTCCGTGAGGCACAGCTTGGGTCGCTCCGCGAGCTCGGCGGTATCGGGCACGATGTGGTGGTCTGAAATCTGCAAAGACGTCACGATCGGCACGCACACGCACGCACACTCACGTCGATGTCGTCGTGGTCGGAGGGCGCGAAGCGCACGCTGTGCGTGTTGGTCAAGAAGTCGAAGACCAGCTCGCGGAACTTCTCGTTGGCCTCCTGGTCGATGTATTTGTCGGCGAACATGTGGCCCGAGCCCGTGGCCACCAAGCGGCCCCCTGAAACCCGATTGAGGCGCCGCCTATGCTTTGGCATGTGTGCTTACCGCTGGCCGGGTCGTAATATAGGGCACCCAGGGGGCGATCCACGGGAAAAGAGGCAGATCCACTTGTGAAAGCCACCACACTGGGTTTGCTAACGTTCAGCGTGCAACCGAAAGGATATACGAGATTTATGTTAACTTTATCCCTATTTAGAGAGGTATTTATGGAGCTGTCGCCGATAAAACACTCCTTGGGGTGGAAATATTTGTAGTAGTGGGTGCGTATGAGGGAATCTGAGAAGGAAATGATAGTGTGTGGTGACAAACAACCTGATTTTGTTCACTGAGAAGAAACAACGCTGGCGCGTTCGAATTTCCCGCCGAAACTAGTGTAATTAACCGACTTTGAAAAATGAAAAATCCCCATTTGTATGCATGATGTGTTGCATAACTTAAACAAATTTTCGAATGTGGCGCTGTTTTGTTTATTCTCCAAAAGACAAACACTGTACTGACCCATGTTTGGCACAATCCCAAACTCCTCCAAAAGGATGTTAATATTGCTGGTATCGTCATGGTTACTTTCGGATAAGAGAACCAGGACCCTTCCTCCATCCCTGATGAAGGACTTGAGGCAGTTCAGCTCGTTTTCCTCAAAGGGTTGCTGACACCCCGGCAAAATCAGCAAAGTACAGTTTTGCAACAACTGCGACGTGATTTCATCCTTGTTTCTGGAAATTGACAATGCATAAATGACAGTTTGCCGTCATTTTACTTACACGATCACCTTCCAGTAGATCTTCAATTTTCGTTGGAAGATTTTGAAGTTCTCGTTTAGTTTGAACAACTCGCGTTTTGAATTGTTGAAAACGATCGTGTTCTTGTTGTCGGCTGAAGAATCCTGGAGGAGAGTGTCATTTAAGTTTATTGTCGTTTTTACTTACCTCGACCGGTGCCATTTTCGGGTTTGTTTACAGCGATGGGCGGGCGTTGCTTAGCAACGCAACGTATGTGTCAAACGTGATGACGTGACTTAATTTTTGAATGACAAACGCGTGATAAAAACTTAAACTAAGTTTATGCATTATGCAGCCCCGCGAAACTATAATTGATAATTTATACCAATTAGAGACGAATTTATGTAATTTATAACACTACGCGCTATCTTACGGGGAGAGGACAAACTATGGTTGAGTAGATATCTGTTATTTGTCAAACTTTCACTAGCCTTACATTTATTGATTGAAATTCAAATATATCGTATGGCCCGAAAACGAAAAACGTTAATTCAAATTTTAGAAAATTTAAACACAAAAAATCAAAAGATATACATGGTGATCAAGTCCGAGAAATCGAAACATCAAAAAATGGAAAAATTGAAGAACCGAAACATTGCAAAATCTCAGAACTGAAATACTGAAAAACTGAAAAATGGAGGAAAATTGAAAAATCGAAAAAGTGAAAAAATCCAAAACTGAAACATTGAAAAATCCAGATATCGTAAAATTGAAAAATCACAATTGAAGAAAGAATTGAAACATCAAGAAATAGAGAAATGGGAAAATCAAAAACTCAGTTAATCGAAAAATTGAAAAATCGAAAAATTTAGAAACGTCAAAAATTAAAAACTGAAAAATAAAAAAAATTAAAATCGTGAAACTGAAATATCGTGAAGTTAATAAATTGAAAAACTGAAATTTTTTGAAAAAAAAAAATCGTATCAAAAACTAAAAATTCAAAAAATCGAGAAATTGAACAATCAAAAAATCAAAACATTGAAATCCCAGTAAGTTGATAAATAGGAAAATTTAAAAAACAAAAATTTTAAAAATCCAAGAATTGAACAACAAAAAAAATCTAAGCCTGAAAACTCAGAAAATTGAATGATCGAGAACAAAAAATCTAAAATTTAAAAATTCGACAAATTGAAAAATCATGGAACTGAAAAATCGAAAAGTCGAGATAGTGAGAAATCTAAAAACCTAAAACTTTAAAAACTGAAAAATTAGAATATCGAAAAATTTAAAAACCGAGAAAACACAATATCAAAAATTTGAAAAATTGAAGAAACGAAATATTGCAAAATTCCAAAGCTGAAATATTGAAAAACCTAAAAATGGAAGGAAAATTAAAGAATCGAAACAGTGAAAAAATCCCAAACTGAAACATTGAAAAATTGAGAAATGGAAAAATGGGAAAATCAAAAAAATTAGTCCAAAGAGTTTAGACAGTACTTCCCTCGCTATCGGAAACGTGACGGCTGCATGCTTATTTTTTTTTTCACATTAGATTTCAAAGCATTCGGTTTTGTGATTAAATCAATAAAATAAATTTGCGCATTCATTAAATTTTTTGAGTCACCCTGTATATCCGAATCCAAAAAATATGAATGGAATGATAAATTACAAGAAGAGACTCATCATATTTTGTAAATTTTAAATAGGATTATACGGCAAACTTTTGAGCTGACGTCATCAATTTTTTGAAGGGGATAAGCAAATATATTTGGACTAAAAATTTATTATGCTCTTTATAACCTTAAAACATTTGCAAGATTTCAAAGCATTGGGTTCTGTAGTTCCTGATTAAATCAATAAAATAAATTTACGCATTCATTAATTTTTGGGGTCATCCTGTATATGCAAATCCAAAAAACATGAATGGAATGATAAATCACAAGAAGAGACTCATCATATTTTATACAATTTAGATAGGATTTATTCAGCAAAATTTTGAGGTGACGTCATCAATTTTTTAGAGGGGATAAGTAAATATATTGTGATGTAAACGGTCCTGGTTTAATAACAAAAAAATTTTCGTTCGTCTATAAAACAAGCTCGTCTTAGACAAAGTATTCGTAAAAAAATATGTCGTAAAAAAATTTAGGTATGCTGGTCCCGACTGCGATTATAGTTTAAATATTTTTTAGAAAATCCTGTCATGGATGTAGAAACATTTGTGACAGCCAAAGAGGCTTTTTTGAGAAAATTATCTTTGAATTTAGACAAAATTTAAATAGACACTAGGCAACAGGCACATTTGGGCAAAAGAAAGAGAAATTAGGGTTACGGCTTCAAATTTTGGACGTATTTACAAAGTTAGACCAACTACAGCAATAGCTAAAACTGTGGAGTCTCTATTGTACAGTACATTTAGAGGTAACAGTTACACATACTATGGACAGCAAAGTGAGGAAAAAGCTGTCAAGTGTTTTGAAATAAATAAAAATATAAAAATTGAACGGTGTGGCTTGTTTATTTCAAAACAATTTCCTTACTTGGCTGCTAGTCCAGACAGGGTTCTAGAGGATAGGAGTGCATTAGTCGAAATTAAATGCCCTTCAAAATCGCAAGATTTGTCTCCCGAAGAAGCGGTTAGAAAAAAAAATCTAATTTTGTACATTGACAGACAGAGAATTGAAACTAAAAAAAAACATAATTACTACTTTCAAGTCCAGGGACAAATGCTTGTTACAGGTATTTCACAAGTTTATTTTGTTGTATGGACACCCAAAAGAATAAATATGGAAAAAAATTATAAAGGCGAAGAAATATATGTAAAAAGATGGCAGATAAACTTGGCAGATTTTGCTTTGGCGCATTATTGCCCGAAATAATTGATTCAAGAAGAAAGTGGAACCTGCCTTTGCGAGAGATTTTTTTTAAATAAATAAAATTTGTTTCTATTTTTTTATGTACTTTAATAATTTATTAGGAGTACATTTTTCATCACCAAGGCTTACATATTTTTATTATAAATATATTTTGAAAATGATCTCTCGGCAAATGAAAACATATACGAGCACTTTTTTCGAGTAAACAATGAAGGGAGAAGTTACTGGGCGTAGGGCTTTTTTAAAACACCTCCTTTCTGGGATAACACTTAGCTACTTATACGTGTTAAACAAAAGCTGTATTTTATATATTTTTTATTATTATTATAAATATGTTTATTAGTTTTTTTAATTAAGAAAGCAAAGTATATATTAACAATAATATTACAATGAAATTTTAGTAATCATGTGTATTGAATTCAGGATTCTGAGTGGAGTAAAAATATTATAGTTCCCCAGTTTTAATTCGGTTTTATGATAGTACCTCATTGCGCAAAAGTTAATTTTCTTAACAATAGATTACTACGGCCGGTCCTGGCGGCTTGTTATAAAGCTGAGTTGCTTGCCATAAATTAGAAAAATCAGCCGAGAACTCTAACAATCAGCTTATGGTAAAGCAGACGATAAGGGTTTTACTTGAAAGTCGCTTCCGTAAATTTTAGTGGCGCTCCTATCGGCAAAGTACTGAACTAACTGCTCACATTCTGTCGAATTGATACCCATTTTTTTCAATAACTGTTAGTTTTGGTTAAAAACTCTGCTAACCAATAGATCGTTAATTTTCCTCTGATATTCCTGTTAAAATTATTCGACGTATTTTGCATTAATTTGTGGTATATTTTGATTTTAATAAACACATTATTATTTAAACAAATTGTACCACTAACAAACATTTAATGATTCTGCGCCCTGTAAAAAGTGATGTTTCATCCATGTGCGAATTTTCAAGCGATTTTATGATGGTTATGACTCAAAAAACTTGAAAAGAAAACATAAAATGGTGCTTTTTTACGATATTTCTCAGCCATATTTTTTTAGTTGATTGAACTCGTCTCTGCGCCCTAGAATATGAAAAAAGCTGCAGTTTGATGTATGACACATCTATATTAATATCATTTTTTCATACAAAAAACCAAAAAAATGTTATGCCTCGTCTAGCGAGTCCCCTTAACCTTACTTTCTAAGTGTGTGAAATGTTTAAAATAAGGAAGTTTAAAAAACACCTTAAATAGATACCTTTTTATTATAAAAAATAAATTTACAAAACTTGTACATTCAAAAACACATCATGTCAACAAAAAATCGTTGAACTTGAACTCCTGCCTTAGAGTTCCATCAAATATGGCTTCCGCTTCCACAACTTGAATTTTCTTATTCTGCTTGACGATTTTGCTGTATTTGCCCTTGTTGTTTTCAGAAGAAACAATAACCAGATGTTCAGTTGTACACTTGGCCAAATTTTTGGTAACGTAGCTGCCACCACACGACTCTATCGCTCCTAAGAAAACACCCTTTTAGCAACAGCATACCTTTCCCCAATACCAACCTTTTATAACATCTGCGCCGTTATTAACAATAACCTGGAAGGTGTAGTTTTGTAGCAATTTAGCGTCGCTGCTTCTCTTCAACGACTCCTTCAACGAAAATTTCCATTTCTTTTCCGCTTCCTTGTCAACCAGAATGTGGTCCCATGGGTCTGAAACTAATCTTGAGACCCAGTTCGCCCTGAATGGATCTACTTACCCACAAAAGCGAAAGCTTTCTTGCACGCGTATAACCACTGTGGTGAACAGATGGGTTTACCTTGAGCCACAGCACAAAGAAGCTTTTGGGACCTCTTGATGCTTTCCGTGACCAGCACGGTGCAAGCGTCAACGGTGTCCACCACGCTGCCACCTAGTCGACAATCAATCAACAAGTCCGAAACTACGTATCACACTTACCGAGAGTCCTAATCAAAGACTCCAACTCTGGATTATCCATCATGGTGAAAACCACTTTGGGTTTCAACGCCCTTCTGCTTCTCTCGGGCGTTGCAAGTACTGGTGTCGCAATCGACCCCTTCCTCGTCTTCTTATCCCCCTTTTCTTCCTCTTCTCTCTTCTGTCGTCTACTATTCGCGCTCAACCGTCTGGGTTTAGTCGCAGAAGCGACCGACGGCGTTGACGAAATAGTAATCACACTCTTCTCGCTACTCGTGGAACTCACAGTGATGACTTCGTCGCTACTCGCGCCATCGCCGACTTTTTTCCGCGCTGATTGTCTCGTCGGTTTAACAGGAGTTTCGATTTTTGGAACTTTGGCGACAAAATCGTCCTCGGAGTCGTAACTTGGGAACTTCAAACCACGTTTTCTGGGTGTTCCGGGATGGCTCGGCGGCGTTTTTTTGCTACCTGTATCTTCAGGTTTCTTTTTGCTTGGAGTTTCCGGAGGTTCGTCCCCTTCCTGTTTGCGCTTGTTCCCTTTTTTGGTCTTGGTTGTCGACGGTTCGGGCGTTTGTTCTCTACTTTTGGCTTCTTTTTTTCTGCCTCGTGTTTTCGTTTCTTCTTCCTTGGATTCAGTGTTTGAATGATCGTCAGGTTCGGGTTGCGTTTGTTGTCGGCGCGTTGTTCTTTTGTGACTTTCAGTTGCTTCTTTTTTCGTTTTTTCTTCATCTAGTTTTTGTTTTCTTGTTCCTCGTTTATTTGTGTCACTGTTTTGCGAATCTTGGCTACTTTGGGGACTTGATCTTCGGTTTTTGATCACACCTGGCTTCGATTTGTCGTCTACGCTGCTTTGAGATTCTTTGTCTTCGCTTCCGTCGTTTTTCTGTTGTCTTCTGGTTCGTCTGCTGTTTGCCTCGTTGCCACTGCTTTGGGAATTGTCTTTAGTACTGTCATTGCTAGATTCTTGGTTTTTAGTTTCACTTTGTTTGGGTTTTCGTCTTCCCGGAGTTTCAACACTTTTCTCTTCTTCTTTCTTATTTGGTTCTTTGTCTTCCACACTTTTTTGCTTTCTTTTTCCTCTTCTAGTGTTCGCACCATCGCTGGTTTGCGAACTGTTTTTGCTACTTTCGACGCTCGATTCTCTTGTATCGACAGTCGCAGTCCGTTTTGATCTACCTCTTCTGTTCTCTTTATTGTCCGAATCTGTTGACTTGTTATCTTCTTTTCGACCAACTTCTGCGTCTTGGTCCTTTTTATTACTATTGCTTGTTTTATTAGTCTTGACGCTTTCTGAATCGTCAGTAATACTCTGACTTTTTGATCTTCCTCTTCTTTGGTTTTGCGTTTCTTCAGAATCCTTTTCGTTTTCGTCGACTTGTTTCTTCTTCCCTCGTCTACTCTTCACACTATTGGTACTGTTTTGGGAGTCAGTTTTACTGCTTTCCACGCTCGATTCTCGGTCTTCAGATGTGGTACTTTTTGTTGACTTTGCTCCTTTTCTATTGCGTTGAGTGTTTTCTTGAGATTTTGTTTTTTTAACTTCAACTGTTGATTCTTTTGCCTTTACACTATCATCATCTTTACTACTAACAGAACCATCGTTATTTTTTTGTCGTCTGTTTCTGCCTCTTGTTGCTCTTATTTCACTTGTATTACTCTCAACACTTGATTCTCGATCTTCGGTTGATTTTTCTTTAGCTTGTTTTTTCTCTTTTTGGTGATTTTCCTCTTTATCTTCATCGTCATCGTCAAGAGCGACCAAATTTTTCTTCAACTTTCTTCCTTTGTTGACAGGTGTTTTGCTTGCGTTTATAGTTTCTTCTTTGGCTACTTCTCGAACTTCAAGATCTTGTTTCCTTCTTCCTCTTCTACTGCTTGTCGCACCTCCATCTGATTTATTTTCACCATCGTCAGTCGGTTTTTCCACATCAGAACTTTGTTCTTCCTCTTCGTCTTTCTTTTCCTCTGCACGCTTTTCTTCATTTTTAGTAGAATAAGTCTTCACTTTACTACTACTTCTATTCACAGTGAAGATTTCCTCATCTTCATTGTCATCATCCCCTGCTAGAATCTCCTTGACAGTTTCTTCACTAAGTGGTGCCGACTTACGCAAACCCAAACTTCTGCGGGTTTCTTCTTGTATTATACTATCGTCAATTATGTCACTTTCGCGGGACGTATTTAAAACGTCTACGAGTTGCTGCGTACACAACAAACTCTGGCTAGCGAAGATCTCGTGCAGCTGATCTTCAACCTTATTAAAGTGGGTTCCGTCTTCATGAAGCATTTCCATGGCTTGAGTTGGCTGAAGCATAGAACTGTCGTCATCTTCCCTAGGTTTGGGGTCCGATTTTTTCAAAGGTGACGGACTTTTGAACGGATTCGGTGCCAAGAAAATGTCATCGTCTTTACTAGACGGTCCTGAGTCACTTAGAAGATTTTCTAGAGCTTGAGTAGGTGGTAAAAATAAGTCATCTGCTTCTTCGTTTTTGGAAGATAGAGATTTCTCCAGTTCCGTGATTTTATCTTCGCCGTGTAGAAGTTCCAGTGCTTGCGTGGGTGGTAATAGAATATCTTCGTCGTCTTTGTCTAGTGGGAGAAGTGAAGATGTAGATGTCAAGTCAGCGTTTTTGATGATATCGTCATCCAGCAACGATTCTAGTGTTTGCGTGGTTTCCAAAGATTCATTCTTGTTATTGGATGAACCTTCTACTGACGCTGAAAGAACATCATCTCCGTGTAGATCTTCTAGAGCTTGAGTTGGATGTAAAAATATATCGTCTTCTTTGTCTTTAATATTGCTTGGTGTTACTGAATCTGAACTCAGAAGAATTTGAGTAGACTGTAAAAATACGTCGTCTTCGTCTTTGGACGAAGTTTGCTTTGAATCCAATTGTCTGGCATTTGCAGGTTTAAAGCTTCCAAAGTAATCCAAAGTTTGAGTAGGTTGTAAGAAAATCTCGTCTTCTTTTTTGTCAAGATCTTCGATTTTCGTTCCTTCGTCGACTTTCTGGTCTTTGGTGTCTTCAGTCGGCGCAGACTGATTTAGTATTTCGTCTGATTGAAGATTGCTTATTTCCTCTGCATCTTCATCTTTTTTCTCCAGATCTTCGTTTTGATCACGATCGCACACTTTCGGGTCATTTATAAAGTCAAAATTGAACTGTTGCGTCGGTTGATTAAAAACATCTTCATTTCTTTCGTCATCTTTTGGTAGCGGAAGACTAGAAGTCGTTTCGCTGTCATTGTCTGACAGAGCAGCAGCAGCTTCTAGTTTTTTATCAGATTCAAGTGCTCCACTTTCTTTTTTTGTTTCTTCTTGTTCTTCATTTTTTTGATCAAGTTCCGTTGCGACTTCAGAAACCGCAACATTTGTTTCTTCGTTACTTTGTAAACTTTCTTCTGCAGTTTTAGGTACATTTTCTATTGTGGCGAGTTCTTCATTTTGAGTCTGAGACAACGCCTGGCAGTAATGGTGGTCCTGTGGTAGCACTTTCTTGCTAACTTTATTCTTCTTCAAACTGTCTTCACTTGCACAATTCTCAGATGCATTAAGGCTCAATTTGAAGCTCGCCATTGAGTTTTCTTCTAACTCTTCACCTTCTGACTCTGGAACCACAACTTTTTCATTCAAATCATCTTTCTTAATATCATCTCCTTCAATATCAGTTTCTGAGTCATCACTGATGTGATATTTGGATTTCTGATCCGTAGTATTCACATATTCTTCTGTATCTTCTGAATCTGAGTCAATCAGATTTTTTCCGCCTGTCTTTACAGGGCAAATTTGTGAAGGCACTTCATCATCTGTCTCTGAATCAACAACTTTCTTCGAATTGATACTCACCGGTCGAATCTGCGACGAATTTGACGACGTTTGCGTCGGATTCTTCTCACATTTTTCCGCTTCGTCGTCAGAATCCACCAAACTATTAGAATTCTTATCACACTTAAAACTCTGCGACTCCGTTGCTTTTTGCATCGTCGCAAAATCAATTGAATCGTTGCTACTTTCATCATTGAAACCCGGAAAATGGTGAACCTGCGTAGGCATTTCGTTCACACTTAATTCCTTCACCGAAAACACTTGTGTAGGCATCTCGTTGAAATTAATCCCGCCAGGGATACTCGATAAATTGACTTCTTGCGTCGCCGATCCGTAAAAATTCTCACTGAACTGTTGCGACTCGTCACTATTTTTCGCAATGTGTTTCTCCTCCTCAAGCGTCTTGTACGTGCAGAAAACATCACCGAACTTAATCGAGGACCCATTTTTCAATTTGTACAATTGGAGGGGTGTCAGCCTGGTGTTATCAAGCACGGTCCCATTTGACGATTTAAAATCACTTATGTAATGCAGTTCCGGATCGACCACGGTAATAACGGCATGATGTTTACTGACGTTCTGAAAGTTTGAGGTTAGGTCGGTTTTGATTACGTCTACACTTACCAAATTCTTTATGTTAATAACGGCGTCCGGATTGCGCCCCACAGTGTTGTGTCCGTCGTAAACGGGGTAAATTTTGTCGTTTAAAGTCAAACAACCGCGCTAAAACATGGATGTTTTTGTTGGTATCAAAAGTGAGGTTAGGTTCTTACCGTGAGATTTTCGTTTTTTTCAGACCGAGATTCCATCATGGGCTAATAAATTTGCAGTTAAAAAGGGTCTAAATGGAAAATAGTGCGGTACATTTGTAATTTTTTCTAAAACACCACAAATCACAAAATCACAATACTGCGCATCAAGGTTATTATTCCGGTCAAAGTCGACTATTTCCGTGAGTGGTCGACTCGTACCGGTTCAACGTTTTCAAAACTTTTTATTAAAAAAAAAAAAAACACAGACACACAAATCAACAACAAATAATCAATCGTTTAATGTTATAACGTGCTTTACAAGCACTGATAATCATTTAAACATTTTTAGTAATAAAGGTGGATTATTGTGCATAGGCAACCACCCATGCAGCTGTTTATGCAACCAACATTACAGCCAATTGTCCTGAAACCGGTTGCTGCACTTCTCCGCCTCTTGCAACAAAGAAACCAAAACCGCACAAATCTGGCTGAAAAGATGCAGATGCAGGTGCATCGCATCTTGCCATCCCGGCATATTTATCGCGGGCATAAACCACATGTTGATCCGAGTGCCGTCCTTCCACAAAACAACCTGCGGATGCCGATCGAAATTAAAATAAATTGAGTTCGTTTCAGGATTTTTTCAGCACAAAACGTGGACTACCCCGCTGGGATCGACTTCGTTGAACGTGACTTGGCATCGTTTATCTCGTATTTTTATTGGCTTTATTTTTGTAGCACGTTTGGTGATGCTTTTTATTTTGTCGAATGCGTCGTCTATAAAACCTTTCAAAGGTGTGCGTTGGATAAAGGTCAGCGTGCACTTTTGTCCGCAGTGCGATAATTGCCGCTTTTTCCTCTTTGATGGTTTTGCGCTGGTGGTTTCAGCGCATCAAACGGTCGTAAAAATTAATTGAGCTCGTGTTAACAACTTCTGGGTGGGGGCGGGATCAAGGATCAGAGGATTAAGAGCTCGAAAAGTGGATTTTTATCGGATTTTTTACGATAAGTGGTTTCTGTGGATGCTTCTGCTGGTAAAAAAGGAAAGTGAGGACGGTGTTTTTGTGAGTTGTTTCCACATCTTTTTGGTAACCCGTGGGTCAGGCGAAGAGTCCTGAAACATTTATTGCTAACGGTGGTTCTGGTAATCAGCTCTGGGTGTTGATGGTCGTATATGGGTATGTAAAAAGGTCCAGTAATTGGTGTACATCGCTCTTAGTAACCAAACGTGACCTTTACGGTAAATTAAATGAGGTATCATTTTATAATTTCACTTCCAAGCGGCTACATTATTTATAAGAGTAATAATTTCTGTTATCATCAGTGAGAGCACCTTGGAAATGATTCTGACTTTTGACTTTTTTGTTTTTATTCCATGGCGTCTGAATAATGATAATTACTGGCTGCGTTCGTCAGTTTCCTTCCTTCTATCTATATCAGAAATTACAAAATTGTGCAAGAGAATGAGCACTCTCACTTTATTGTTACTTCGCATTTTTTTTATTTTGTTTCTATGATTCCCAAATTCTTTAAAAACCTGATTTAGTAGTAGTGTTAACAATTTCTTTAAAATAATTTGTATTTTTTTGTAATAACAAGTAATTTTTTAAATATCTCAAACATTGTCTTTAATTTTGCATAAGTCGTCACTTGGTGCAGACAGAATTATGAAAATTTTCTCAAGAGATGAAGAAAATGAAGATATTGCATGCCAATGGCCAAGACTTATTCTACCCAAAAATAAAGAAAAACGTGTAGTTGAAGAGAAAGAAGCTAGAGAAAAACAAACTTTTTTGTCGAAAATCTTGCAGATAAATCGAAGCAGTAAAAGAGCAAGAAGAAAACAAGATCTTGAAATTCGAAAAGAAGTCAAAGAGAAACCACAACGAAACAAAAAAAAAGATGAAGAAAAAAAATGAAGATGTTTTTAATCAACCGACGCAGCAGTTCAATTTTGATTTTATAAATAACGCGAAAGTGTGCGATCGTGATCAAAACGAAGATCTGGAGAAAAAAGATGAAGATGCAGAGGAAATAAACAATCTTCAATCAGACGAAATGCTAAATCAGTCTGCGCCGACCAAAGACCAGAAAATCGACGAAGCAACGAAAATCGAAGATCTTGATAAGAAAAAAGACGAAATTTTCTTACAACCCACTCAAACTTTGGATTACTTTGGAAGTTTAAAACCTGCAAACGCCAGGCAATTGGATTCAAAGCAAACTTCGTCCAAAGACGAAGACGACGTATTTTTACAATCTACTCAAATTCTTTTGAGTTCAGATTCAGTAACACCAAGCAATATTAAAGACAAAGAAGACGATATATTTTTACATCCAACTCAAGCTCTAGAAGATCTATATGGAGATGATGCTCTTTCAGCGTCAGTAGAAGGTTCATCCAACAACAACAATGAATCTTTGGAAACCACACAAACACGAGAATCGTTGCTGGATGACGATATCATCAAAAACGCTGACTTGACATCTACATCTTCACTTCACTCATTAGATAAAGAAGATGAAGATGTTCTATTACCACCCACGCAAGCACTGGAACGTCTATACGGCGAAAATAAAATCACGGAACTGAAGAAATCTCTATATTCGAAAAACGGAGAAGCAGATGACTTATTTTTACCACCTACTCAAGCTCTAGAAAATCTTCTAAGTGACTCAGGACCGTCTAGTAAAGACGATGACATTTTCTTGGCACCGAATCCATTCAAAGGTCCGTCACCTTTGAAAAAATCGGACCCCAAACCTAGGGAAGATGACGACATTTCTATGCTTCAGCCAACTCAAGCCATGGAGATGCTTCATGAAGATGGAACCCACTTTAATAAGGTTGAAGATCAGCTGCACGAAATCTTCGCTAACCAGAGGTTGTTGTGTACGCAGCAACTCGTAGACGTTTTAAATACGTCCCGCGAAAGTGACATAATTGACGATAGCATTATACAAGAAGAAACCCGCAGAAGTTTGGGTTTGCGTAAGTCGGCACCACTTAGTGAAGAAACTGTCAAGGGGATTCTAGCAGGAGATGAAGGCAATGAAGATGAGGAAATCTTCACTGTGAATAGAAGTAGTAGTAAAGCGAAGACTTATTCTACTAAAAATGAAGAAAAGCGTGCAGAGGAAAAGAAAGACGAAGGGAAAAACAAAGTTCTGATGTGGAAAAACCGACTGACGTTGGTGAAAATAAATCAGATAGAGAAGAAGAGAAAGAAGGAAACAAGATCTTGAAGTTTAAGAAGTAGCCAAAGAAGACAACATAAACGCAAACAGAACACCTGCTTACAAAGGAAGAAATTTAAAGAAAAATTTGATCGCTCTTGACGATGACGATGAAGGTGAAGGTGAAGATAAAGAGGCAAATCACCAAAAAAATAAAAAACAAGCTAAAAAAAAACAACCCAAGACCGAGAATTAAGTGTTGAGAGTAATACAATGAAATAAGAGCAACCAGAGGCAGAAACAGACGACAAAAAAAATAACGATGGTTTTGTTCCTAGTAAAGATGACGATAGTGTAAAGGGAAAAAAATCAACAGTTGAAGTTAAAAAAACAAATTCTTAAAAAAACAGTGAACGCAATATAAAAGGTGCAAAGTCGGCAAAAAGTACCACATCTGAAGACCGAAAATCGAGCGTGGAAAGCAGTAAAACTGACTCTCAAAACAGTACTAACGATGTGAAGACTAGACGAAGGAAGAAGAAACAAGTCGACGAAAACGAAAAGGATTTTGAAGAAACGCAAAACCAAAGAAGAGGAAGGTCAAAAAGTCAGACTATTACTGACAATTTAGAAAGCGTCAAGACTAATAAAACAAGCAATAGTAATAAAAAGGACCAAGACGCAGAAGTTGGTCGAAAAGAAGATAACAAGTCAACAGATTTGGACAATAAAGAGAACAGAAGAGGTAGATCAAAACGGACGGCGACTGTCGATACAAGAGAATCGAGCGTCGAAAGTAGCAAAAACAGTTCGCAAAACAGAGATGGTGCGACTACTAGAAGAGGAAAAAGAAAACAAGAAAATGTTGGAAGCGAAGACAAAGAATCAAATAAGAAAGAAGAAGAGAAAAATGTTGAAACTCTGGGAAATTGAAAACCTAAACAAAGTTAAACTAAAGATAGAGAATCTAGCATGGAGAGTACTAAAGATAATTCAGAAGCAGGACCAACGACGCAAACAATAGACGAACCAGAAGACAACTGAAAAACGACGGAAACGAAAACAAAGAATCCCAAAGCAGTGTAGACGAAAAATCGAAGATCTTGATAAGAAAGAAGACGCCATATTCTTACAATCTACTCAAACTTCGAATTACTTTGGAAGCTTTAAACCTGCAAATGCCAGGCAATTGGATTCAAAGCAAACTTCGTCCAAGGACGAAGACGACGTATTTTTACAGTCTACTCAAGTTCTTCTAAGTTCAGATTCAGCAACACCAAGCAATATTAAAGACAAAGAAGACGATATATTTTTACATCCAACTCAAGCCCTAGAAGATCTACACGGAGATGATGCTCTTTCAGCGTCAGTAGAAAGTTCATCCAACAATAAGAATTTATCTTTGGAAACCACACAAACACTAGAATCTTTGCTGGATGACGACATCATCAAAAACGCTGACTCGACATCTACATCTTCACTTCACCCACTAGACAAAGAAGATGAAGATCTTTTATTACCGCCCACGCAAGCACTGGAACTTCTCCACGGCGAAGATAAAATCACGGAACTGAAGAAATCTCTATCTTCGAAAAACGAAGAAGCAGATGATTTATTTTTACCACCTACTCAAGCTCTAGAAAATCTTCTAAGTGACTCAGGACCGTCTAGTAAAGACGATGACATTTTCTTGGCACCGAATCCGTTCAAAAGTCCGTCACCTTTGAAAAAATCGGACCCCAAACCTAGGGAAGATTACGACAGTTCTATGCTTCAGCCAACTCAAGCCATGGAGATGCTTCATGAAGACGGAACCCACTTTAATAAGGTTGAAGATCAGCTGCACGAGATCTTCGCTAGCCAGAGTTTGTTGTGTACGCAGCAACTCGTAGACGTTTTAAATACGTCCCGCGAAAGTGACATAATTGACGATAGCATTATACAAGAAGAAACCCGCAGAAGTTTGGGTTTGCGTAAGTCGCCACCACTTAGTGAAGAAACAAGGAGATTC